TTTACTAGGAAGGTGATACGACTGTCTCCTAGCACAGCGGAATACAAAGTAAAGCAAGCAACTGAATGCGTGAATGATCGAATGGGGGTTGAACGAACGAATGAAGTATTTGAGTTAAGACTGAATGAACAAGTATACTTTGGCATTATCAAGTCATGTTACTTTCTTTTTATTACAAAAGGAATACAAATTATAATATAAATATAGATTAATTTTTGCCAATTTTAATTCAATATAAATTCAACAATCATACAGCTTCAGCAACCCCACTTATTTGGTGTCGGTGCCATGGTGACTCAATTCTATCAACATGCATGGCCCCGAAACGCGAGCTGCTTTCATTATAAGTTTGTTTTTTATGTAAAACAGTGTGGCAGGCACGCATAATAACCCACATGATGGTAAAAACATGGTAAGCGACCGCCATAGTCCATTGATAGATGCTTGTGATACCAGAGTATCACCTGCGCCGTGCCTTTAAACCGATTCAACCCCGTGGTGCCCTAGAACCACAGAACACAGAAAGGTTATGTGTGAGCAAATGCTCATAACTTGACCAAGACTTGGTTTTGATTCCGTCGTTGCTTTCGGGTGTAGGGTTGCCAGATGTAGGCTTATCAATTTTGGGACCCCCCCTCCCCCCAGAAATAAAACATCACATCAAAACACAGGTCAGTAAAGAATGCCTTTATATGGCATGCTTCTGTCTCCCCTCGCAGGTAGTTGTGGGTATAGTAATATTGTGAAAAAACTAGTGTTTGGGGATTCCGGGACAATAAGGTCTAATTACTGGACACTAGACAAGAAGCAAAATTCCGGGACAATCCCTTATTTCCCGGCCATCTAGCCACCCTACTCGGGTGTGAGCGTCGATTGGTTCGATCGTTTGATGTCGCTCCATTTGATTGGCTATTATCTATTAGGTGGAAATGTAGCGCGGGCGAGCCGGCGACAAAGTAAAAGATTGTTTCTTAAATAAAAGTAGAGTAAGTTAATCCTTATTACATCAGCTACCTTGAGGAGCTCGATGGCGCAACTGGTTAGCGCGTTCGGCTGCGATCGTTGAAGTTAAGCAACTTTCGCAGTGATCGGTCATTGGATGGGTGACCAAAAATTTACTATCTCGAGCTCCTCCGTGCTTCGGAAGGCACGTTAAGCCGTTGGTCCCGGTTGTATCTGCAGTCGTTAGCACCCACCAATCCGCACTGGGCCCGTGTGGTGGGTCATGGCCCAATCTCCCTATTCCATCCACAGGGAAGGCCTGTGCCCCAGCAGTGGGGACATTAATAGGCTGATGATGATGATGATGATGACATCAGCTACCTGCCAATAAAAGTCCCGTCAAAATCGGTCCAGCCATTACAGAGATTAGTCGGAATAAACAGATAGACAGACACAAATTGTTAAAAACGATTTTTTTTTTGGTGTATGTACCGTATAATGCCGTATACCATATGCATGTAGTAAAAAGCGGTCATTTCAATATTACAAACAGACACTCCAATAAAACTCAAAGGTGACCGACTGACATAGTGATCTATCAACGCGCAGCCCAAACCACTGGACGGATCGGGCTGAAATCTGGCATGCCGGTAGATGTTATGACGTAGGCATCCGCTAAGAAAGGATTTTGATCAATTCTACCCCCAAGGGATAAAATAGGGAAAGAAAGTTTGTATGAAACTTTGTCAATTTTAAACCGATCGGGCTGAGACTTTGCATGCAGGTATAAGAAAAATCATAGATGAATGTCATTGTGTATAATAGAAGCCTGAGAACAAAAACTGTAGTCTACACTTCAGCTCTATACCGAAGCGAAGCGAGGGCGGGCCGCTAGTTTTATTTATATGTATAGATTTAAACATCTGGGATCAAACCCCAAAAGCCATTCGCCTCCCAGCTTTAAAGGTCGTCAACATTTTACTTAAACAAGTATAGAGATAACTTGACACTATTTTGGTCAATAAACCCCGTTATCAACAAAACAAATTGAAGTCAAAGTTTATCATTCCATACATAATAACAAATTATTTGTATAATTAACAATACAAGAAGCTTCGGTCACAAAAGGCAGAGGTACTACTCAAGAACGGCAGTTATTTATTTATTTTATTGTGAATGCACAATTGTACAATGGCGGACTTAATGGCGTAGGCATTCTCTACCAGTCAACTATGGGGTGTTGTGTAGAAAATTAGTGGAAGGGTTGCACAACTGAGGTGGAAATATTTCAGTGAGTAAATATAAAAACGCTTACGTTGCGGAAGTTATTGATAATAGAGCAAAGTGATGAACTCAAGTTTTATAGAGGACTAGCTGACCCAGCGAACTTCGTACCGCCATAAAAAAATTTAATTAAAAAAACATTGTAAAATTGTGAATCTAAACCATTCTCAGATCCCCTTGAACACACACAAAAAATTTCATCAAAATCGGTCCAGTCGTTTAAGAGAAGTTCAGTGACATACACACTCACAGAAGAATTATATATCTAAAGACTAGCTGACCCAGCGAACTTCGTACCGCCCTAAAAAAATAGGGGTTGTCCAGCGGACAAAATTGTGAATCTAAACCATTCTCAGATCCCCTTGAACACACACAAAAAATTTCATCAAAATCGGTCCAGTCGTTTAAGAGAAGTTCAGTAACATACACACTCACAGAAGAATTATATATATAAAGATAAATAAAGATATAAATATCTAAAAAAGAAAACGACGGGTTGCACTCCGGGAGTGCCGGCAGAAGTGAAAACCTGAATATTATCGTTGTGCATTTTTGATATTTTGGAATGGTTAGGGAATAATTTTGCACGAATTGCTTTAATTATCAGTATAAAAGTACTATCATGTATGTGGTAGAATACAATGTTTATTTATTGCGCTATCGTACACAAACATGACAATTTATATTACATTAAAAAAGTTTCTCTCAGAAAAATCAACTTACATGAATCACGTTTAAGCTCACCTAGCGACATCTATTGTAAAAAAAATGCATTTTCTGCGCAATAAAGCTGCCACGTGGACGTCCTAGATAGAGACTTATTATTATAATACGGTAAAATAAAATATTAATATGTTTCGTCAAATATATTGAAAGTCAACAAGCTAAAGCCAATTTTATTGTGTGTCATGATGCGATCAGCGCACGTGTTTAACCTGACGCTAGTTTTACATTTTTTACCCTTACAAAAAAAGTGTACAACGCCGCTAAAGAAGTTTTCACTTCAAAAAGTCCGCGATGTCATATGTCTAACTATTACAGTTATGATTTTATTTATTTTTTAAGCATTTAACTGCTAGATGTTTAAATCTAAAGAAAAGTTTACTAGAAAAAGAACCACGCGGACCAGGCAGTCCCGTCCGCTGCCTGGGGGCCATTCGCCTAACGGAAATGCTTTGAAAAACGCTAACGCTTACGATTTCGTTTTGTTATTTCTAGCCGCCTGAGGTTTTCAAATGCCGCGCGCCCTTTTTTTTTCTTTTGCATTGGTAATAACAATATTAAAAAAAATGAGCGTGAGGTATTTGAAAACCTTCGGCGGTCAGAAATAACAAAATAAAATCGAAAGCGTTAGCGTTTTCCAAAGCATTTCCGTTAGGCGAATGGCCCCCTGGTCCGCGTGGATTTTTTTCTAGTAAACTTTTCTTTAGATATTACAGTTATGTCACAACTACAGGTCTCCAGCGGTTTCACCCGCGTAAATTTGAGTAAAAAGGTAATAGAGAGTCAAACTTAAAAGATGGGCATATGCTGTCGCGGACTTTTTCATAGAACCTTTTAAGGGGAACAATTCCGCCATACATGATTGTGAAACTTTAATCATTTACGCAGCGCACGCAACGGAATCTACCTAACGGTATATTTTTACCCGTTTTTTTTTAACTTTTTAAAATTTTCTTTAGATTTAAACATGTAATAGTAACACGCTTAAAATATAAAATTTATAATCAACGATGTAATTTTCATTTTTTGTACGAAATTATTGCTTCGCCGACTAGGTTACCTATAACTATTACCTATAATATGTAAAATTGTAAAGCAAATACTTTAAACAGCTGTTTTTATTAATTTCATTGCATATGTGGTTACTCACTCATACCACAGAATATATACACTACGCGAAAAGAAGCGACACTTAAGCATGTGTGCTCGTAAAATCGCCCGCGGCTATGTGTGGGTGTCTGGAGGTGTGCGGGGGCGTTGCGCGGCGCGCGGGGCGTGGATAGGGCAGTCGCCGACTGCCGAAACCGAAGGCATGGCAGTAGCGAAATAGTAAAATAATAGCGTTGCACTGCATTGCACGCACAGACTGACTACGCTACGCAATCTTATTATTATTTAGATAATAATAAGAATTATAAAACGAATCGAAAAAGGAGAAAATATATAAAAGTTAGCAATTTGTTATAGTACCTACATTAAAAGATTAAAAATTGATTACAAAATCAAACCTATCCTTCATTATTTACCCCAGTATCCTTGAATCAATCAATGTAAACACATTTAATAACTTACTATGCATAAATATTCATTGGCACAAGTCTAAATTCCAAGTTCAACCCTAGCGCATACACGCTCCTGCTCAAGGTCACTGACGCTGGAACTCTCACGTACAGAGAGTGTCACCGCTGTGCTCATACAGTATTCTGTGTACTCATCTATACTACTATCGTGAGTTTTGTCACTACAGGTCGCGGCACGTAACTCTAGCGCTGAACAAAACGCGGAGGAGATACCTGCTGCGCATGGGTACGACTGGAGAGCCAATCGGCACAACGCACCCATCAAAGGCTCCAGACGGAGAGGATCCCTGTGAGGAGATGCCATCCACCTGGAATACCTCTAGAGACACTCGCTAATTCTCGGCTTCAGGTCCCTTTAGGATCTCGCCGTCCCCAAATCTGGTTACGCTGTAAAGGTCTTCTGCGACCAACAGCATACACACTCAAAAAAAAAGTGTTCTGTGGTTAAAATACCTAGATATCCTCACTTACCTCATATCCACACTTGGCAGCCTTCTGTTTTCCATGGGTCGGGACGGACAGAGCTGAAGATGCTATGATGAGGAGAACTAGCAGCTTCAATGCCATGTTGAAGTCATTCGCTGTCTGTAACAAACAAAAGAACAAATCCTAAATCACGTTCATTCTCTTAATATCGCGTTCATCGTCAGTGGGACAAGTGGTAGGCTGTCCCACGCGTGCCTAATTCCAGACAGGGCAGATTGCAGATAATAAGAGCTTACATTTGGACCATTTGGTACGAAACCCGTAGTGTGCGAATTCCAATAAAAACATTTTTTATTAAGAGATTAAAAAAAATATTAATATTAAAATACACACCGGTTTAAGAAAAAATGTTATACAAAATTTGTCAAATTTGTTATTGAAAAATATTATGTATTCTTGAATATCTAATGGGTCCCGACTGTTAAAGTTTATTCTTTATTTGTTCCTTATTAACAGAATTATAGACTACTGGACTTGTTTTTTTCTTTTCAGTTTTTATTTGAAGTATAATTAAGCAGTCGGGCTTTTTGATTTTTTAAATTTACCTTTTTTATTTCACACTTTTTAGTTAGTTAGTATTTTAAGACGGTATATACCGTAGTCTTGTTACTTCAGTAAGGGAATTAATATCGCGGGAATTATTAAGTACCTTGCGGTGGTCTAAAAGATTGATTTATTAAGAGATATAGATACTTTACCAGCGGAGTCAAGGCTACAAATGGGCCTCAATTTTCGCAAAAATGTGTGAAGTTAAATCAAATCGTTACATAAATAACTAATGTATGTAAATTTTATAGTAAACTAGCACTTCTTCAATAAGTCATCTTTTGTTGAAGTTACTAAAAAGAGTTCTTTTTAGTAGTTTAGCAGTAAATATAAAATTCATTTACTTTTATTCGTCGACTATTTAAAATTGGCAGTGGCTGCATTGTCATGTTAACGTCCGGCTCTAAGATTGTGATATACACAAATGCAGTGTCATATCCTAGTCTCATAATTTGATATACCTACATAATTCACAGAAACCCAATATGTAGATGCCAGAAGTTATCACCCTATATACAATACCAATCAATGACGTTTATGTCGCAGGTTGAAGAAAGTAGTAATTCCCGTATGTTGTTTTGGAAAATGGTGGCAACTGCCTTAGATCGCTAAATTAAATAATTATGCAATCACCAAAGCAAAGTTTATAACATTTAATTAAACTAAAGGCGCATAATAAAATTTTCATAACGTTAGGTAGAGCACCATAGCAATCTCATTTGTTATCAATTTATAGTTCTCTTTGTATTTTTCTTTTAAAGCGTTCACATATAACAATCGGATTCGGTTCACATATAACAAACAAATCTTACACTATATTATAGGTATATTATATATATATGTGTGTGTATGTATGTATATGTGTATGTATTAAACGCTATTTAATTTTGTTTTTTCATTGTTTGATGTTTGCTCTTTCCTATGATTGTCTGCCGTTTTATTGACTCTGCACGTTCTTTCCGGTTGACTGGTAGAGAATGCCATGCTGGCATTAAGTCCGCCATATGCAATGTAAAGGCATTAAAGATTAAGTAAATAAATAAATAACAGGTCAAAGACTTTGTGATCGACCCTTTTTTATTGATAGTGTAAAGCTCGAATGAAGAGTACTTCCACCTATCAAGCGTGCTGCTACCAACCTAGTAGGTATTGCAAATAGTGCAATCATGGCAATTATTTTCCAAAAATTATTTTTATAAAAAAAATACTGAATAACTTATCACTGTTACGCACAAATGCTAAGTAACTTTTACAAATATAATGAAATAAACCTATTACTTACTTTATTTTTAAATCTTTTTCATCAATTAAATACTCTTATCCTAACTATATATACTAATATTATAAAGCGGCAAGATTTGTATGCTTGTAACAAATAATCTGTCAAACTACTGAACCGGTTTCAAATATTAATTCATCTTATGGTAGCTACATTAGGTGACTTCAGAAGTATGTCTGAAGTCATTTTTCAACTTGACGACTCTGTATATATCAATACAGGGAGAAAAAAGCAGCCCTTGCTGAGTTTCTTGTCGGTTCTTCTCAGTACAAGGTCTCCCGCCGTAGTTTTGCGAACCGATGGCGTAGCTTCTTGACTTTCACAAGTGCTTGTAACAGCCTAGACTGAATAAATGACATTTCATTTCATTTATTATTACATTTTTCTTTATTTAAATACATTTTGTCCGAGTGACATAGGCTATATTTTATCCCGATAAAATAATTTTCGCCCGTACAATGCCCGGGTGGATCACTAGTAAGTATAATATAATATTATAGATGCGAAAGTGAGTTTGGTTTTTCTGCTTCCGTGCCCTAACAGCTAAATCGATTATAATGAATTCCCCTATAGAAGTAGATGGGAACTTGGTTCTTAGCTACAACATCGCAATACTTATAGGCATAGGGTGATGAAAGGGGTGATTTACCTATAAAATCTATATTATTTACTTTGAATTTTGCAGAATTATCGTTTATAATTACAAAACCAATATTATCGCCAGCTGATTAATAAATACAGGGATTCCAATAAGTATGTACCTACTAGCGAAAAATGGGTTATTTGTCATTATATTAAGTAAACCTATTTTGTAACATTAAGTAATATCGTTAAAAAAAATAGAAACAGTTTAATTCTGAGTTTTTCATTAAAATTCAATAATCATAAATACCTATTATGATAATTTACTTTTCATCGTTTAATAAGAAGGCACTGTATCACAGTTTTATTGTAAGTGTTTCGTATAGGATCAGATACTGCGAGTAGCCCACTTTTTTCTTTTTCGCCTAAGTTTTATTCACGTTTATAAACACCTAAATTAAATTTCTTCTCTTAGTATTCCCGCAGTCTACTCCTACATAGTACACCGCGCTATCACTATGTCATCGTTGTAACTTTTTAAATATTTGTCGAAATGACAGAGTGTAAAAGGCAAAGTTTATCGTCTTTAAATATCAAATGCGATAAAAGTATTTGTTTTGATAAAAAAAAATTGTTAATACAAAATGTGCATTTTGGAAATAGATATCAAATATTTTAGTTTTGATTCACTATTTTAGCGGTAATGGCTTACACATTAAAAATAGATATATGGTGACACGAACTTTTTTTTAGAACTATTTAAGAGATACATTGTCCAGGTAAATCGACAGAATCGGCTTTGCATGCCGTAGTAAGCATGATCGAGGACAGCCTAGGACGTAAGGAGCTTTGCCTAGGCACATTCATAGACATAGAGGGAGCATTTGACAAAACCAGTTTTAGTAGCATTACGACAGCCCTACTTAGACACGGAGCTGATGAGACCATCGTCCAGTGGATAAGTAACATGCTATCTAACAGGTTAATAAGACCACAAGGAGAGAATCAACTACGAGCACTGGCTACGAGAGGTTGCCCACAAGGGGGGGTACTCTCACCACTACTTTGGAATACAGTTGTGAACGACCTTATAACTAGACTGAACAATCTGCACTACCTCACAATAGGATATGCAGATGACCTGGCGATCCTAGTCCCGGGTAAGTTTGCGGACACGGTTTGCGATGCGACACAAAGGGCACTGAGAGTGGTAGAGATATGGTGCTCGGACTATGGACTAAAGGTAAACCCGGGTAAAACAGAACTAGTTCTGTTCACCAACAAAAGGAACCTGGGCAGCTACCGTATGCCAGTATTATTCGGCAAGACGCTGTGTTTCTCCAAGGAGGTAAAGTATTTAGGCATAAACCTAGACGCCAAACTCAACTGGGGAACACATATTGACAAAACCATTAAGAAAGCCTGCATCATTTTGTACCAATGCAAGAGGATGCTGGGCAAGAGGTGGGGCTTATCCCCCTTTATAACAAAATGGCCATACGCGACGATAATAAGACCCATCATAGGCTATGCAGCGCTTGTATGGTGGACGAAGACAACACAGGTAACAACCATAGACAAACTTAAGTGCTTCCAAGGGAGGGTCTGCCGGGCGATAACGGGCTGCATGAAAACCACCCCTAGAACCAAAAACCACATCTTTATTTTTTGTAATAAAGTAACAGTTACAGGTATTCATATTTATAATATTTATCCACATGTTTCTAGTTTGTATATTCGGAATACGAGTTTGAGTTTCATACAAGTGCAAATCACATATGTTCTAATAAATTATATTCAGTAGCGATTTTAATTGAATATTTTGATTATTTATTTATTTTGTCAAATTAAAACTGGACTTTATTGACTGTGTCCTTTTCCAGACTTTTTATTAATTTATTGTAATTAATTATTTGCATGCAATTAAAAACTAATTTTAAACGATGCCAAAGAAGGATAACTTCTCACGCGCCTACATAAGTACACGCACCCATTTTTTTACTTCGTCACAATATGGCGCCTAATTTTGCCCATATTGAATTTTGATTACTATCATATCTTTAGTAGCACTCCCATGATTGAGACGAATCGATTGATGTATGAATCATCAAAATCGGTTCAGGCGTTTGGTCTCTAGTGTACCACAAATGAACATACATACATATATAGACTGTTAAACAGTATACCCTGTCTGCGCGTCGCGCTTCGCGCTCTTGGATTGCGCCCGACTGGGTAAAAAACTAGTTTAACAAAGTTTAGGAATGCCGTGTACTACTGTTTAGGCATAAAAAATTAACGATTTAAGTTATGATGATAATATAATAATAATTTTTATTCATACCACAAAACAAACAAAGTAATAAAATTTTACAGCTCTAAGTAACGTAAGTACAACGATTAATAGTGCCCAATGTAGCAAGAGCAGACTCATCTCCGCTGACAGCACCCGTTCACGAGCATGACGCATGAACCAGCCATCGCTTCGCTCAAGCATTTTTTAAGGAACGCAACGACCTGCCTCTCACCACACCGCCGAAGAGATTTTGAAGAGAGCTTGACTACTCATAACCACATATGAATACTATGTTACAAAAATAGAAAAAAATAGTACCAGTATACATTATTATATAACAAACTATAAACACAACGGTAGGACACATGCATGTGGTTTTTTTTATAGCGAGGTACGCAA